CAAAATAAATAAATAAATTTGAAAAAAATAAAAAGTCAAAAAAAGTTTGAAAATAAAGGTTGGAAAAGACACCCAAACAAATTCTAAAAGGAAGAAAGAGTAGAAGTTGCAATATTAATATGACACAAAAAAGTATTCAAGACTAAAGGCAATAAAAGAGATAAAGAATTTCAGCTTGATAAAAATACAGTCACCCAAAAGGACACTTTATGTCCTTGTACTACGGGTTCTAAAAATGTAAATCAAAAATTAGGAGAACAAAGATAAAAAGATGCCTACAATTCCTCCCTGTACACATGCTCTTCTTTAATGTGACTTTGCTGCTCCTCCCATCAAGAAGTGGAATCTATTTCCTGTCCACTAGAATCTAAGTAACCACGTGATTTGTTTGGCTAATAGAATGCAGCCGAAATGATGTGCAAACTCATCCAGATGTCTTGCAATTTCTGCTTTTATTGTCTTGCTGCTCTGAGTCCACCATGTAAAGATATATGAGCTAGACTCCTTAAGGATGAGAGATTATATGGAGAGCAAACCTAGGTGATAGCAAGCACCAACTATCAGACAAATGAGTGAAGTATTTTTGAACCACCTAGCCCACATGAAGCCAACAGATGACTACAGCTACATGAGTAATATCAGGTGAAATCACCAGAAGAACCACTCAGCTGAGCCCAAGCAAGGTGCTGTCATACAAATTCATGAGGAAATAAAATGGTGGTTGTGTTAAGTCACTAAATTTTAGGGTGGGTTGTTCTGAAGCAATAGCTAAGTGAGACAATGGTTCATCATTTAAAAAAAAATCCAGTAAAAGTAATCAGCCCAACTGGAAAATGAGCAGGTAAGTCACAAAATAAGAAACACAAATGGCTGTTGACTTTCTTATATTAAGTACAGATAAATTATGCTTTTGCTTCTACTGCTATAAGTAGCTTGGATGAACTCCTAAATCCAAAGCAGTGAATACAAGAAGCTAAGCTGTTTTATTGAAGGCAATAGAGGGATAAAAGATGGGAAGTGCTCATAAAGATGATAGTTAGGAAATAGAGAACAGAGACATTTTACTACATTCCAGAGTTTGGTTTGCTTTAATGTTACTGTAAAAATAATCAAATTGGTGTTTTATAATACTTGCTTAAATCTCACTGCCTTAATGAGCTCTGGCTTACTACTAAAAATATATAGAAATTCATGATTCTAAAACTGACTGAGATTTAGTGGAAAGGCAATAATTTGAATTTCAGACAAAGGAGATATCTTTATTAGTACTATTATTGCCTATGGATTCTATATTTTGTCTTCCAGACTACTTTTATTATATATCTATATCTATATCCATGTATATATTTTCTCATTAACATTAAATATATGTGAAAGAACTAATCTGAGTATCTGATTAATATGAGACATACTTATTCTAATGAAATAAGATTCAAAAGCAAAAAAAAAGTTGATGTTTCCATGCATTTTAATGCAGCTATTGCACACAATTGTCTAATTTCTTACTAGATAATGTAAAAATACTGAAAACAGTTCAAAGACTAACATTTTTATGTTCATCAGCCAGTTAACCAATATGGATAGTGTACTCAAAACATTTTACTGCCACCTTGTAACATCATACCTATCAATGTTTTGAGCACACTCGCGCATACTAGGGGAGACAGTCATACAAAGAGTCAAAAATGTAACCCCTAGTATGCTGAAACTACAAAAAAAACCTTAGATAATATTTATACATATATGTGTATGTATGTATATATAATGTGTGTATATATACATATATGTCATAGTTAACACAGTAAGAATGTCAAGATACATTTGAAAATGTAAATTGTTAAAAGTGTTTCTCTCTCTTGAGTGTATGACTTTATCCAGAACTTGCAATAGAAGTATGCTTCAAATAGCTCCCCACTACAAAATAATGAAAATAAATTAAGAAGCTTCTAGCTGTGCAACCTTGGGCAAATTACCTAACCTCAGTTTCTCCATTTGAAACAGGAATAATGATAGTACTCAATTCATGGGATTTTTGTGAGGATTAAGAAAGCTAATATGTCTAAAGCGCTAAGAACAGTGCCTGCCACATAAAAGGCACTTAATAAATCTTAGCTATTATTGTTGCTTTTCTTACTACTACTTTATTGGGTGTCCTTGATATGTCCTTAAATAAGAATGTGTCTCTTTTTAAATGAATCCAAACATACTACAATTCGGGTAAATAAGCCCACCATTGCATATTTCTAAGACAACCTTATATTTTAGAAGGTTGTACACAGAGACAAAAACAATAAAAATGATGTATATGGATTGATTAATTTTCTGATTATGAAGAAGGATTTTAGTAGCTCAGGACAGCATAGAACCAACAAATTTAGATGATGTTTAAGACTTGGGTTTAAAATGTCTGGTAAAAAGAAAGAATACAGTGTCCACAGTTTTGTCTTCAAATACACCTGCTACTGGCAAATTCACTTTCTGGGGCCTGAAAATGATGGACTAATAAATGTCTTTTGCAGACCTCCTCATTTGGCAGAACATTCTTCATTTGACTTATAAAACCTTTGCAGAGTCAGAGGGCCAAAGAAATAACTTTGGTCAGGAAGAGTATAAAACTTTTATAATAACAAATTACAAAACAGCAAAATTATGAACTAAACTGCTAAACTCATCATTCTGCTTGGAAAAGTGTGTGCATTGAGTGGACAGTATCACCAAACACTATTACAAGATAAGCTGAAGCTGGTGGATTAGCAGCTACTTGGGACTCAGATATTTCTAGGAGCATAACTCTTTCTAAATCCCTCATTTGTTCTGTCCTCTTGGGGCAGTTCTTCAGCCAAAGCCCCTTTTGAGAATTCAGTCCACTTCCCTTTTAGAACTGCCACTTCCACCAGCTGCTTCTCTCATTACCTTACTGTTCAAGCGGAAAAGGCCAACCCCGGGTTATTCTAATGATAGCAAACACCTCATAAAGAAATCTGCCAAATTTACTTTTCCACAGAACATCAGTTCTATGGCTTTTCATGAGTCCATGAGGAAAAAAGCATCATGTATAAAATATAACTTCCAGAAATCTTGAAGATATTAAGAATTATCCCTACAGTGTTAGATTAGTGGGTGCCCCAGTCTATAGGATGGTGGCATCTTCAACTTCCCCATAGAAATTCCCTCAGTCTGTCACTGTACCTAGCTACCCACGGGAGAAGCTGAGAGATCCTACAAAGTTAGGACATTTTTAGACATATCTCAAAGTTAAAACAACTTTAAGCTTTGGGGTGTGTACTTTTCTACTGTTGGTTTTGTAATTGCGTGCAATAATCACCTTGCTTTAGTCTATCCTGGTAGAGACAAAATTTGGTGTAGTTAATCGAGAGTTTGGAATGTCTGAACTTTGACAAGTTTTTTAACCTCGCTATACCTCAGTTTTTGCATCTGTAAAGGGGCTATATTAACAGTACCATGTCTCATAACATTATGGTTAAATTAAGTGAGTTAGATTCTGTAAAGCACTTAAAACGATGGCACGTAGTAAACACAATGGAAGTGTTTTATGAGTTTTCTCTTACGGTAAAGTTTCGCTACAAATTGTATAAAGATGTAAAAAGTGAATTATCAAAGACAATGACTATAAAGTCCTTTGGGAACAATGAATAATGCTTATTTATTTGTTTGTTTGTTTTGAGGCAGAGTCTCGCTCTGTCACCTAGGCTGGAGTGCAGTGGCATGATCTCAGCTCACTGCAACCTCCCAGGTCTAAGCAATTCTCTTGCCTTAGCCTCCCAAGTAACTGGGACTACAGGCGTGCGCCACCACGCCCGGCTAATTTTTGTATTTTTAGTAGAGATGGGGTTTCACCATGTTGGCCAGGATAGTCTCCAACTCCTGGCCTCAGGTGATCCACCCGCCTCTGCCTGCCAAAGTGCTGGGATCACAGGCGTGAACCACCGCTCCTGGTTTGAGCTGATTTTAGGAGCCAAAGAATCCCCCCTCTGCCTCCTGGGAAAATCCCTGTTTACTTTTGCCTATGCTCCAAGTTTACAGTTGTCCCACCCCTAGACTCAAGGAAAGGTGCTAAGGTAGCGGCAGGAAATGCCTAGCTGGGCAATTCTTTTCAGAAGTCAGAACTCACATTGTGTCTGACCGTCCACTATGCCCTCCCCTTGCCCTGAAGCTGAAATGGATAAACAGAATCCCATTGCTAAAGCGACCTTCAACGGGGAAGATCCTTGGGAGAAAGACTTTGCTACGAGTTTAAAAGCCCCAGGTAGAGGCGGAGCTTGCAGTGAGCTGAGATCGCGCCACTGCACTCCAGCCTGGGCGACACAGCGAGACTCCGTCTCAAAAAAAAAAAAAAAGCCCCAGGTAACACTGGCCCAAATCACTACCGGTGCCTTCACTGCATCTTCCCCACGACCAAGGGGGCAACCGGGGGACCTCAGGCGAGGCCTCCGGAGGAACACTGGAAGCAAGGGAACCCTGAGGGTGAGGAGGGGGTGCCTGGCTATTCTCCTTGGGAAATTATGTCCTGACCTTTGGACAGGAAGTGGTAGACTCCCGGAGTTCTTTCTCCCAAAGACTTCAGGGATATCATCCTGTGAAGTCTCCTTGCGTCCCTACAGCCTCGAGTAACATTACTCAGCCTCCGAAGGGCAACGAAAGACTGGTAGCACCCCCAAGCAAGCATATCTCCACACTTCCTCTGCTCATCCCAAACCTCGCTCCCTCCCACCTCCTCACCAACTCTGCACCTGACCCGTGACCGACAGAACTGAAGGAGCGCAGCTGGCAGACTTGGAAGCCGGGTGCAGCCTCCAGGCACGTGCCCCCGCTCCGCCTCTGCCTAAGTCAAGTGGCCCGGGCAAAACTACTACCAAAACAGTTGCTCTTAGGTGGGGCGGGGGACCCGCCTCCTTGCATCCACCAGGCACTAGCTCAGCACCCCCGCCCCACAAACCATCCCCGCAGCCTCGCACGCCCCTCTCCGGCGGCGCACTCACCTGCAGTTGGGCTCGGCTGGCGTTGCCCGCGGCCGCGTCGGGCCCGTCGGCGGCTCCAGAGCCGCGCAGCACGGTGATGTGCAGCGTGAGCAGCAGCAGCCCCAGCAGCAGCAGCAGCTCGGCCGCCAGGCGCACCATCCTCTTGAGACGCGCGGCTTTAGGACCCGGCGCGGCGGCCGGCGGCGGCGCCGGGGGAGGAGGAGTAGGAGCCCGGGAGCCCGGCAGCACGGCTCCCGCCTCGGCTCCCGCCAGGACTCCGCTTCCCGGGCCTGCGGGGCTGGCGCAGGGCGCGGCGGGGCGTGCGGGGCCGGGGGAGCAGGAGCCTCCGCCGCCGCCGCCGCCGCACCACGGCGGAGCCACCGCGAGGCCGGGGTTGTCCAAGCCGGCTGCGGAGCAAGCCCCGGCGCTGCCTGGCGGCGGCGGCGGCAAAAACTGAGTCCCGGGGCTGTCTGGGACCCGGACCGGGCCGGAGGCCACCCTGCTGGCAGGGGGCTGCGGGGTCGGCGGCGGGGCGGGTGCAGCCGAGCCCCCGAGCGCACATGGGCGCCCCAGATGTGGCCGCGGCGCCGCAGCTGGAGCGGGAGAGGCCGCCAGAGGAGCGCGGGGAGGAGGAGGAGGAGAGGAGGAGGAGGAGGAGGAGGAGGAGGAGGAGGAGGAGGAGGGCTTCAGCTGCGGCCGGGAGTTACCTCCACGCTTGGCTTCCCCGCCCTCGCCGCCCCGAGCCACTCACCCGGCAAGCCACCTCCACTACTCTCCGCGCTCCTCGGGGCCGCCTGCCGCGCCGCCCCGCACACAGAGTCCCGGGGAGGGCCGGTTCCAGATGGGGGCCCCGGGCACACCGAGGTTGGCACAGTTTGAGGGTAGCCGGGGCGCCCTCGGCGTCTGCGTCCGCCTGCCGGGCTGTACCAAGTGCCCACTGCCGAGGTCGCTGTGGGGGGCGCGGGTAGAGCCCCTGTGCTCACTGAGGTTCGGGGCTGTGGGTAGGTGGGATGGTGCCTGGGCTGCTTTAGAAACCTTTATTGCAAAATGGAGCTGGAGTTGCAGTCATGGAAAACGGAGGGGGCGCCGGATAAGCCAGGTGTCTGCGTGCGATCCCTGCCTGAAGCAGTCGGGGGAGGGGAGGAGTGCCAAAGTATCCTTCCGAAGGGTCTAGACACTTGCTGGGCCGCCCGCTAGCCGGGCGCGGCTGTTCGCGGGTCCGCGGCGCCCCGTAGAGCCTGGGAAGGGAGGGGAGTCCAACTCGCTGGGCGTCCGTCTGGTGACCGGCGCAGGTGTTGGCCGGAAGCTGCAGGGACTCAGGGCCCGCGGCTCAGGCGCTCAGGAACTGGGAGTGAATCTCGGCTCTAGCGGGCTTGCGTCTAGGGGGCTTATCCCGGGGGTGCCGCGACCAGAGGGCATTTGGGGGCTGGCGTCGCGCAGCCGTCGATCCCGGGCCACCGCCTCATGGCCGCGCTGCAGCCTCGGGCTCCCGCGTGCGCCTCATGCTTTGCAGGGGGCGGTTGGCGAATGGAAGGGCTCCGGGATCGGACTGAGGGCGCAGAGTCCTAGCTTCGGATGCTAGAGCGAACTGAGTCTGTCCGTGGCACCGCGCGCTTCCCTCCTAGATCTTGCTCTGCCTCTCCCCTTACCGAAATGGCTCAGAGTAGCGGACTCTCAGTCCGGCCGGGCCTTTTATACTGCGCTTCCCCGCCTCCTACCCGTTCCCTCCCTTTCTCCTCCCCAGCGCCAGCCCAGCCCTTCGCTCCCAGCGAGCCAGGACCTAGTCCATGCCTTCGCACACATCCGCTTCGCACATTTCCAAGCCCTTCCCGCGTCCCGGACGCCAGTGCCTCTGGGATGGAGCCTCCGAATTCTCCTTTGGTGAATGAAAGTAAATAAATAAGCAACACTTTCTTGACGGCACGCCTCCCTTCCCCCCTCCCCAATTTCCTACCTTCCTCCTCCGCGCCCTAGAAAGATTTAAGATTCTTAATTCAACGGCTTTCGAGTTCTCCCAAGGCATCTCAACCAAGTATTATCCATATTAAGGCAAACCCTTGCTCCGTTCCGAAGATTCATCCGGTCACCGCGGCACTTTGCAGAATTTAAATAGCGATGGTTAAGGTAGGGTCTGTTGCCTGGACTTATTTGTGCCCGGGAGAGGAAGGGCTTGCTGCCTCTTTAAAGATGCCTGAAGCATCTTTAAAATTCTAACTAACTCCAGCATCTTATTAATAAATTGGCAGCTGTTTATAGAGTCTGCTATATTTTTTCCTTTTCAGTTTTTGTGTTTTTTTGGGGGGGTCGGGGGAGGTGCGAGGGAGGAGGGGAGATGTTTGGAGGGGTACTTGCTTTGGATTTGTAGGCAGCTGGGCCTGTCAGACATCTTATTTCTATCTCTAGGCTCTAAAATGCCAATAATTGTCACTGGAGTGTGGGTCGGGAGGAGTGGGGGGTGGGAAACGTGAAACAATAACCATCCAGGGTAGTTCAGATGGGAGATCAAAGAGGGGATCCCAGCAGCTTTTAAATCCTGGAAGGATCCTCCTGTGTGTTTTCTAATTAGGATCACTTAAAAGGGAAAGGGCTGAAGAATCAGCGCCGAAATAGAATATATAAATTAAGATGGCAAACTAGAATCCCATAGCCAAAGAGTTTTAAGGATGGTTCTAACCTCCAGTTGTGCCAGATTATGATATGGGCTCGCAGAAACAAATGACTTTTCTATTGCCAGAAGCAGGCTGGTCTGAATTAGGATCCGGGGCCGCTGTGTCCTGCCCTTTCATCACACACAGTCTCCACATGTAAGCCTCAGCTGCCTCTCCTCTCATCTGAAAGTAACAGTTTTGGACCCAAGGAAAAAAATGACCTTTAAAAAACTCTGGAAAGAAACCTTTGCAATGAATGTAAATTCTTGTGAAATTGTAAATGGAGATTTGGAGATCAAAGTCTTTGTAAAATGTTGTAAAAATTGTAAATTGAATTTTGGGGACAGATGTCTTTATAAAATGTTGAACAAATGTATGAATGAATCCTATTAAAATCCCTTCACGCTGAGAGATCCCCATTCCAGGTGAGTTTATGTTCCAGTAAGCACACATAACGAGTATTGATAAACACCCGGGCTCTATGAGTCCACTTGCCGAACCAGGCTTGCCAGCAGGGCTCTGTTTTTGAGTTAGGGAACACGGGCTTACAATTTTTGTGGAAAAATAATTAAAAATTTAATAGACTAAACCAATTAAGTTTCAAGCACATTTATGAAATTGTATCAATAGCTGATAAAAAATTTTTAAAATCCTACCTCCTTCAGCAGAGCGTCCAGAGCACCCTATCCATATGTTTATTATTGATTTTATGACACTTGGGGCACTTGTGTCTGCATGTCTGTCTGCCCACTAGACCTTGATTGGGATCACCTTTGTGGTAGAACATTTCAGAGCATCCCACAACTCCCCACCTCCATCACCTCCATCCCAGTATCGAGTTTCTTTCTGGGTTCATGGCTATGAGACATTTTCTAGGTGTACTTGGGTCTAGGTTTGGACTGTGAAGAGCTTTTTTCCTTCCCGGTCTGACCATAAAACATCCTGAGTGATTATCTGCACACACTCTCTCTTTCCTTTTTTTTTTTTCCTTTTTCATTCGTTCTTTTTTTTTTTTTTTTTTTTTTTTTTTTGACAGAGTCATTCTGTCGCCCAGGCTGGAGTATAGTGGTGCAATCTCAGCTCACTGCAGCCTCTGCTTCCCAGGTTCAAGCGATTCTCCTGCCTCAGCTCCCTGAGTAGCTGGGATTGCAGAATCCTGCCCCCATGCCTGGCTGATTTTTGTACGTTTTAGTAGAGAGAGATTTTCACCCTATTGGCCAGGCTGGTCTCAAACTCCTGACCTCAAATGATCCACCCGCTTCGGCCTCCCAAAGTGCTGGGATTACAGGCATGAGCCAACGTGCCCAGCCCTCTCTTTCCTTTCTACATGGCAAAGGACTCTGAGGTGAAAGGAACTCAAATTGAGTTACTGCTCAAAAGAGAACAATTGGACCAGGAATATCTGCATTGAACCTTGCACAAGTGAGAGAAAACTTTATTCACAGACATTGTAATGTGGGGATGTTTGCGCAGCAGCTGGTAGAATAGTATCCATCCTGACAAGTATAATCTTTGAGACAATGCCTTGCACAGAGTAATTGCTCAATCAATGTTTTAAAAATGCATGTAACAAATCTGGTATTTGTTTATGCCCCAGTTAATAGATTACCTTTCCTTAGAGTGCTTGTACTATAGGTGTCTGACATTAATTTTTATAGCTATTCTGCCTCTTGATTGTACTATTCTCACATGGAATTTGTCTTTCATTATTAGTCCGATTTATCTTACAGGCAGGCTTATTTGACTTGAATATTTTAAGGAAGGAAGAGAAATGAATAAGCCAGAACACCTGTAGTTAATATCATTGCAGAGAACCTTGTGGCCTATTATGACTAGGATTTTATTGTTTTTTTATTTTATTTTGCTAAAGATTGGTGCAACATAGCAAATAGTAGTTTCAATGTAATCTTTAATTTTTTTTTAGTATGGAAAGTTTTAAATATATACGAAAGTAAAGAGAATAATACAATAAATCCTTACATACTCATAAGCTAGCTTCAACAAAACTGACGGCCAATCTTGTCTTACCTGTATTCTCAATATTTTCATAAATTTCCTCCCTTTCAGATTATTTTAAGCAAATTCATGATATGTAATTTCATATGTACCTATTTCAGTATGCATCTCAAAAAGGTAAGGGCTCAATTAAGCAATGTTTTTTAAACACAGGCATATTGAATCTGAGCTTTAAAACAGATTTGAGAAGTCACAGCCAGAGACTTTTTCTGGGTGTAAGAATGATCAGAATTTAGGGATTGTGGTGGAGGCTGTTCTGTGTTCACAAAAAACCTGTTTCCTCTTCTTCCTGGGCATTCTAGTACACTTCATTTCTCGGTATCCTATGCATGTGACTGAATTCTGGCCAATAGAATATGGGTGGATTAATGTGTGTCCCTTCCAGATCTAGCCCGTAAAAACTTCCTGTGCATGATCTTTTCTTTCTTACCCTTGTCTGCTGGCTGGATATTTTTGCCCAGGGTGACCCTAGAGCAATGATCAGTCTGGGTCTGTGGAGCAGAGTCCCTACCTGACCCCTACATCTGCCCAAGAACACCCTGGCTGGGCTGTTGTGTAACTGAGAAATAAACTTTTTAAAAAAATGTGTGAAGCCATTAAACTTTTGTGGTTTGTTCCAGGAACTTTCATTACCCTAACTAGGGGGCAATGTTCTGAGGCTGGAGGGATGGCAAACTTTTTCCTTAGAGGGCAAGATGGCAAATTTTATTTGTCTTTGTGGGCTATAAGGTCCCTTTTGCAATTACTCAGCTCTAGTGTTGCAGTGGGAAACCAGTCACAGAAAATACGTGAAGGAATGGGTACAGCTGTGTTTTAATAAAATTTCACGTATACAGCTAGGCAGCTGGACCACATGACTTAGTTTGTCAACCGCTGTCCTAAGGGACTGGCACAGCCTCACCACCTTGTTTGTTTTAGAGGCTATATATGAAGGAATTAGTCAGATGGACTTCACTTACTATTTTATC